GGCTGCGGTGGCCGGGAGGGGCCACTCGCACTCCAGTCTGGGTGACAGAGTGAGACTCCAAATAAATAAATAAATAAATAAATAAATAAATAAATAAATAACAGTGAGTACATCCAAAGGAACTAGCCTAAAAGCAGCCACTGGACCAGCAAACGAATTTAATTTTTGTCAACAACAAACAGAAAGTGACTGGGCAGGTGGCTCACACCTGTCATCCTAACATTTTGTGGGGGCCGAGGTGGGAAGATCACTTGAGGTCAAGAGTTGGAGACCAGACTAGGCAGCATAGTGAGACCCCATCTCTACAAAAACAAAAACAAAATAGCCAGGGTATTTTACAGGTGGTACGTGCCTTTAGTCCCAGCTACTTGGGAGACCAATACAGGAGGACCACTTGAGCCCAAGAAGTCAAGGATGCAGTGAGCTATGATCATGCCACTGTACTGTACTCCAGCCTGGGCAACAGAACAAGATCCTGTCTCTAAAACAAACACAAAAAGCAGCAGCAGCAACAACAACAACAAGCAAACAGAAACAGAATCTAGAGTAGCACAGTGATTTAATAGCACAACTTTCTAGCACAGAATGGCATAGCAATGGGTTTCCTGATAGTCTGGAAGCCACACCAGTAGTTGATAAAATATCATACAGAGCAACCAGGACCCCATCTCTATAAAAATAAAATAAATTAGTCAGGATTGCTGGCATGCACCTGTAACCTCAGCTACTTGGGAGGCTGAGGGAGGAGGATCACCTGAGCCCAGGAGGTCGATGCTTCAGTGAGCCCTGATCACACTGCTGCACTCCAGCCTGGGTAACAGACTGAGACCCTGTCTCTAAAACAAACAGCAACAACATCAAAAAAAAAACAGAAACAGGGCTGGACTCTGTGACTGCCTGTAATCCCAGCACTTTGCAAAGCCAAGGCGAGTGGATTGCCTGATTCAGCGGATTCAAGACCAGCCTGGGCAACTTGGCAAGACCTCGTCCTTCAATAAATCAAAAATTAGCTCGGCGTGGTAGCACACGCCTATAGTTCCGACTACTTGGAAGGCTGTGGTGGAAGGATCAGCCTTCCACCGCAGCCTTCCAAGTAGTCGGAACACCCCAGGTCGACGCTGGGGTGGCTGTCTGTATGCCGCTGCACTCCTGCCTGGGTGACAGAGTGAGACTCTAACTCAAAAAAAAAAAAACAGAACAAGAGTGACACAATGATTTAATAACACAATAACCATAGGGATTGATTTCCTGATAGTCTGGAAGGCTCACAGATATTATTAGAGCAAGCAGATTCCAGAAAGTCATAAGAAGTTGAGGTCAAATACTTGAGAGAGGTGGGGGCATCTGATTTGATTTAACCTCTAGTATGTTGGATTTTTGAGGAAGTGCCTCATTCCCTTCTTAATCCCATCTCTCATGATTGAGGTACAGTAAGTCCCTGATCTATGCATCCCAAGTGCATTCTTAAATCTAATCTGTTCGTGATTCCCACAAAGTCAGCCTAGGTGCCCAACTAACACAGATAGCTTTATGATACCAACAAGGGCACCACTGCTTTGAAACTTGCTTCTGGACCTCCTAGGCTCAAAATAAAGACATTGAACAACTGTCCACTCTATAGTCTTGTACAGTAAAGGACACAAAAGCACAACCACGTGTAGGGGACATCAGACACGTGAATTCACAGATGCATGAACACACGTGCACATCTTTGAAAGTTCAAAACTTGAAAGTTTGTATGTAGTGGACGGACCATATAGCCCCTTGTGTGAGATCCTCAGAGTTTGTACAAAATGTCGCCATAAACTTAAACTTGGCAACTTCAGACAACAGAAATACAGTCTTTCACAGTTTGGGAAGCTGGAATCCAAAATCAAGGTGTTAGCACTGAGGCTCCAGGTGGAATGCTTCCTTGAATACTGGAATGTCTACTTTTGACATTCCTTGGCTTGTACACACACTCCAATCTCTGCCTTTGTTAGAGACGGTCTTCCAGGCTCTGCCTGTCTGTCTCTGGGTCTCCGAATCTCTCTTTCCCTATAAGGAGTCTGGGAAAGCCCAGTTGTCATTCTAGTATGACCTCATCTTCACTTGATGACATCTGCAAGAACACTATTTTCTTTTCTTTAGATTGGAAAATATAACTTATTTTAAAAGTAAATTAGAGAGAGAATGAGAGAGAGGAGATTCATCTGCCCAAGGTAGTGGATGGGGCCAAGGCTTAGGAAAACATGTCGGTCGTAGCTCAAAGAACGCCTGGCTTGGCCAGTGCTTTACAAAAACAATGGCCCTCTATTTTCAAATGAATTCCCACTGGCTGAATATGGTAGCTGATGCCTGTAATCCCACCCAGCACTTTAGGAGGCTGAGGCAAAAGGATTGCTTGAGGTCAAGAGGTCAAGACCGAGTGAAATTCCATTCACAGATACCAGAGTTCAGAACTTGAAGATGTCTTTTGTGGGAGGGTCATGCTGAACCAGCCATATTCCTCTGTTTTAACAGACAAAGTATCTGGGACTTGGAAATTCTCCATAACTCATGTAGGAGAACACAACCTGTGCATTACTACACTGGAGTTGGGCCCGTACATAGCCAAGGCAACCCTGAATCTTCATACACATTAATCCCACTATGTCTATCCAAGGTATAAACCTAGAAGTAACGTAATTATGTGTGCTTGATTTATTTTCAATGCTTCTATAATTTTTAGTTTTCTTTACTAAAAATGAAAACATATAGTCAAATACAAATAGCTGTCTTAAAATTGGCTATGGGCCAGGTACAGTGGCTCATCTGTAAACCCAGCACTTTGAGAGGCAGAGGTGAAAACATTGCCTGAGCCCAGGAATTCAAGATCAGTCTGAGCAACTTGGCGAGACCTTTTCTCTACAATAAATCAAAAAATTAGCCAGGCATGGTGGCGCACACCTGTGGCTACAGCTACTTGGGAGGCTAAGGTGGAAGGATCGTCTGAGTCCATTAGGTCAAGGCTGCGGTGGCTATGAGCATGCCACTGCACTCCAGCCTGGGTGACAGAGTGAGACTCCTACTCAAAAACAAAAAAAAATAAAATAAGCTATCAAGGGTGGGGCACGGTGGTTCATGCCCCCTAATCCCAGGGCTTTGGGAAGCTGAGGTTAGAGGGTTACTTGAGTCCAGGATTTCAAGACCACCCTGGGCAACATAGCGAGACCTTGACTCAATAAAAAAATTCAAAACATTAGCTGGGCATGGTGGCATGCACCTTGTAGTCCCACCTACTTGGGAGATTGAGGCTGGAGGTTCGTTTGAGTTCAGGAAATCAAGGCTATAGTGACCAATAATGGTGCCACTGTACTCCAGCCTGGGTGACAGAATAAGACTCTGGCTCATTAAAAGAAAAAAAGACTATTGAAAAAGG